AATGAAATAATTATGCGTTAAAAGTGGAAACTGAGGTCTCGCTCTAGTTTGTGGTCATTATTTCCATTTTGTCCTACGATGCAACATCACTTTACTAAAAACTTTTTTTTTTCAGTTCCCAATTTTTCGATTCATTCGCTTCCAACGTTTCAAAATTAGTTCCTTATCATCAATGAAGAATCTCAGAATAACGAAACGAAGCATTGTTTGGCTCTAAGGTATCTAGATCTAATTTTGTATTGAAAGCTCATCCTATGAAAAACCAGCGTCATTTTCAATCAAGGTCTTCGTGTAGCAGTGGCGGGACCGCGGTTACCACGTGGTTAAGATGTCTAAGGTACTGACCACGGGCCGGTTGTTTTTCTCTGAAAACTCCGGCTTTCCTACACGTCTTAAATTACCTTGGCTGTTAAAAGGACGTAAAGCAACAATAAACTAAACAAATGTACTTGTTGGTTGCTTCTTCACTGAACAACATGCAGGAGATGTTCCTCACCATATCCAGATCGATTAGGGTATATAACAACGACAATACGGAGCGGTCTGTGGTGTCAGCTTCCTGAGAAATACAAACTGCCCAGAGCAGGAATCGAACTCCTCTGATCTTCCCCTGGGGTTGCAAAGTCCCGAGATCCCCAGCCCAATAATCATACCACATATCTTCCATTGTACAATATGTACACTGAGTCTCTTATTTAACAATATAATTTTATTTATAATTTTACTAGTATATTTCTCAGTTCTTATTCATATTCGTTAAGCAGTCTTGTGTCTGTTTGGCTTTTAAATTTGACAAACCTGCTGCTGGAAAGTGTTTTCAAGGAGATAGGCATATTCTAGGGAATATCAATAGTATACATAAAATATTACGTAATTGCTTTTGTCTTATTTACATTCACGTAGTTTCCATTATTTTTCACATTGTCTTGATAGAGTGATGATAACGATGACGTTATATGTGCGTTTGGCATTCCCAGAAACACCTGATCATGTTAGCCTTTCAGTTGATAGCTAAATAACGATGTTTTCTCTGTTTACACAACCTTTCATGGACTGTCTAGGGACCGAGCGTAGCGATATTTTACCGTGTAAATACCACGTACACTGCAATTTTCACACCTCTACTTAATCTACCAGTACCCCTATTCACATATTCAGGACTGGTGAGTCCACGACAAAAAAATATTGTGGAAGACAGGACAACTACTCTCGATGCAAATATAACAGAGAAAAATATCGACATATCAAAGAAACAGATTCGACTTAACGTTGTGGAGTTATCAATAGTGATCCGGAGATTCCTGAAAAAGGTACAAGGAAAATACGACCAGGTTTTTCAGAAATATGGGCGTCTTTTGCTTAACCAGTGATAACCGCCACACAGTTTAGTAATAAATATCAAACAAGTTGTGATTGTTGTTGTTTTGATGTCCGTCAAATGTCCGCGGTTTTAACCAAAGACTGAAGCCAAGGGATATATTTTTTTCACGGGGATTTAGGAAAGCACTATCGATTTCTTTACCAATCATTTTTTTCCCAATAAATCTATTTTTCGTAATTTTGCTTCTTCCTCTGAAATATGTAAACATATAAACCTTCCGAAATAAACCTTTCCACTATACCAACACACGAACTAAACTGTTCCATACAATTGTTTCGTCCTTCTAGGTCTCTTTAGTGATACTGAAGACAACAAGTGTGTTTTATAACACGAAGCAAGATAACATAGCTCGTAAAGAGAAATCAAATGTGACGTGCTCTAACGACAAGACATAATTTGATTTGCAAAATTTGCTGATTTTTTTTTTTTTTTTTTTGTCGGCCAACAATCAGTGGAAATTTAGACAGGAAATGACGTTGGCATCAAATATGAACTATGAGTCAGTTTCCTTTTTGCTGAATTATGTTATATTTATAACCTCTAGTAATTATAACGAGGTCCATTTAATACTAATTCAGAAACATTTATATTGCTCATTTTACATGAAAAGCTTTCTAGTTTGTAACTTGCACATATCTTACTTTATAATAAATGCTGTAATTTAATGAGGACAGAGTGCTGTTGAACGTATTTTTAGCTTTTAACGTAAAACTTTTTAAGAACGTGATTTTTTTCACGTGTAGTGAATCCTCAAAGAAGAAAGATATCATAAACTTCACCAATTGGAAACTACTTTTGGATAATTTTTAACACGTAAATGTAGTAAATGTGTTATCGTTCAATAATGACTATTGTTGGGTTTACGATTCCTTTCGTAAGAGTTCCTTTACATCAGAAACAAGACTCAGTATAAAACAGAAGAAATGTCTTCTTCGGTGCAGCTGCCTCTCTATACATTTCCGAAATTCTGGCGGAGTTTGACCGGACCTAAGAAAGATGAATGGTTCATATGGATTTTATGGTGAAACGTGGACTTTTAGATAGATGACTATTGATAGTTCGGGCCCTTGTATACATTTTGGTAAATCTCTAATAAAAAATGTCAATAAGTGGGCCCTATCCGATACTCAGGCCACGTCTGAACTCCGTCCAGTCATTAGCCACAAGTATACAGACGAAGCGTTAGGGTATACAGAAGTTGTATGTTTATAAAGAGTACGCCGAATTGATTTTCTAGTCATTTCGTAAACGATTGATGCAACGCCATACGGTCCATATCAAATGGAGTATATCTTGAAACCGTATGTATGAGTTCGTCAGAATGTTTGAAGAAGTTACACCAACGACCAACACTTTCGCGGTAACATAACATCTTTAAAATGAATAATTCAGAAAGAGAGTTAACGTAATGAATGTTACTGTCACTTCGCTAACACCACAATGGAAAAACAAAGTGTTACCTTTCTCGATAATTGAGCAATTGACTATTTAATTATTGTTTGTATTTACAAATTGCTGTAAACTTGTAAATGTATCTAGCTGTTGGAGCTATAGAGAGTTGTTCCCCAATTTGTTCGTTATTATTGCAGAACCTTGTGACATGATCGCAATACCGCTAGATACGTGATGTGACCCAGCGGCATTCATATTGATTAAAATAGTACAGTTTATCAACTAACAAACGACGCCCACGTTGTAAAAGCTTTGAGGACAATTTAATTATATGCCATATAGAAAACGAACCTTCTCTTTATTAAATATGTAAATTCTACGTCCTCAATAATAAAAGCTAAAATTATCAAAAAATGCAAATATTTTCTATGGGATACTTTGCAATTAACACATGTGGGCTTCTCGTCTTCGAAAGGTTTATTTGATATACGTTAATGCAAACAAAGCTTGTTTTGCGTTTAACGTCTTTACAACAGCTAAAATTACAACGATTGTGGTCACAGAGGGCGGTTCACTGAGAAGTGGATGATGAAATGGCGTGTCGTATTTCTAACACGAACTTTAGACAGAATCCCATAAAATCGACGAAGTAAACCCCGTTAGGAATGCCGCTATTACAGTATAGAAACCGACAGGTATCTGTTGATCGGCTGTCCTCAAGGCTGTGGATGTGTGTGTTGGCTGGATTTATCGACCATTGAACAGCTAAGGAAATTTTGAGGCGGACTCTCCTTGTAGTAGCTGGTAATTACCTCACTGACCAACATGCGAGAGACCCGTCGCACGCCATCCAAAGAAATTAGGGTAAAATGACCAAGGACCACAACAGCACTGACCGGTCCATTTCTTCCATTAGAAACAAACCCCACCAAGACTGTGCCAGTGGCCCCTGGTCCCACTTTAATCACCTCATATTGCACATTATCAATTACATATCAAAGACATTGTACGATATACGTGCAGAAAACTAGTAATCGAATTAGGAGACCCTTATGTATTCTGGTACAGTAAAATGGCCCTGATATCTCAATTTGCATAATAAACTGGTTTTAAATATGTTATACACTAATAGGAGTGTTTACTTATCCAGGGGCCCTGTACTCAAACTTTCTCTTTGAAATTTTATCACGTTTAAATGGAAAGCTTATGGTAGATGTTTGATCAATTGTAAGTATAAACACTTATCAATAGCTAATGAAATAAAGAAGGATTTCCGGACCTTTTAAATCAGATAGAAGACCTCAAAATCAAAGACATTCGGTTTTACATTTGAGTCGCTGCGCAATTCAATTGATATTGTATCGAAAGTGACCTCAAGTTTTATCTATTTGTCGGAATGTTAGACCCTACGAGACTGTCAAGATAATATAATAAGATTAATGAATTAGACACACACTAAGTTGTGTAATGTTGTGAAAAAAGTTGTGTTAATGTTCGACATCTTGTTTTTATATAACCAAGGTTCAAAATCATAGTGTTTAGGAAGTGTCATATGCAACGAAGAAGATAAATTTTCGATACATCTATAGTGGAGTGGACTCGAACAGTCGAACAGTCTGCTGTAGTGGAAGCTTTCAATTGTTGAATATATGAGAATACGTCACGTATGTAGTGTTCTCTTAATATACAGCACAATTTCGTTTTTTGTTAACGAAGTCAGATAGTTTAAATCATTTAGGATAATAATACTTTTCCCTTTGGAAATTATAACAATTTTTTTTTAATTTACTTGAAATAACGTTTCTATTTGAATTTTAGAACCGCGTAAACTATAGCTAGTGGAGACGTCATGAATTGTACAGTGCTATTCTCGCACATCTCCATAAGAAACCTGATGAACTGTATACTTCCTTAAAGCCAATATATAGTTGAAAAGCAATACAGAGGATAAAAATCCCTCTGTTAGATTATCATGCACCAAAACCATCGATATGACATGATGTAGAGACACAACATACTGTAGCTATTGTTAAGCAGGCTTGTTTTTTCATTGTTTTTGAGGATGGCCTAAAATCCAGAGAGATGAATCCTAGGAAAACGAAATATATAACGAGAATTTTAAAGAGAAATCATATCCTTTTGCTCTAATTTTTTTTTTTTGTTTTTTTTGTTTTTTTTTTTTTTTGTAAAAATATTTATACCAAAATATTGATGATAAAGAACTTACCATACGGAAGTGAATGTTCCACGTACTCCGGACAATCCAGATAGGCCCTACTCCCAGCTTTAGTGTCGTCAAAACATCCAAAGCCGTCCCACGTTCTGGGACAATATCCCGGTTTGGGTGATGAAGAGCCCATATTTAATTGTCTTTCGCAACAATTTTCCGCTGCGTCACAACATTTTTTCCACCATTCACATTTCTCTTCGTCCATTGTGTTACAAATGGTATTCACCGAAGATGCATTTCTCATATCAGGAATCACAAGAGTTCCGGGTTCGAGTCCAGAATCTGGACCAGCTACAAACGCAAATCCTTCCGGTTCCGAGATTGGCACTTTAAAGAACTTGGCGTCCATTTTCATGATGTAGTTATAACATAGTGAACACGATAACAGTTTAAATACACCCAGGGTCAGGTTTCCGCTACTTTCTCTACAAAACATGGTGCTAGAACTCCGGCCCAGTATTCCGTGGACGCGAGATCACACAGCGACGCGTTTGTCTTCTAAGTGTGGCGTATATCCGAAACAGTGCAGGTCACTATCTGCAACACAAACAGAATAACTTTGTATAAATGAGTCTTCAACACGCCTAGACGTATCGTGTTTTCGGGATTTCCAAGGCGATGAACAAGCGGCTGATTTAATTGTCGTATCATTCACCCTTTTAATAACAAAAATCAATAGGTTTGATTATCGATAAAAACAAATTACATAAACGCTGTGATGATGCGGCGATTTCGATCTAGTCAGTCTAATAAACGCAAGTACCTGAATAGTTTTTATTTTACCATAGCGACAACCGCAAGCATCTGCATGAAAAAGATGGACCATACATCAGTAGAATGCTTGCTCCAAACGTTGGCAGATTTGTAAAAATTACCCTAACGTTCAATCAACGCTTGCTTGTGACTATGGTGCAGATGAACAGCGCTTTCTAGTGGCTGTGTCGATTTTGTTCGTTCCAGATCAAGGAATGCACAAGAAATGTCGTTACGGTGTTGTTACTGGCACGACACAATCAGAAATTTATCAGAGTTTAATATGCAGCTTTAATTTAAAAGTCAGTGATGAAACTGTATCTGTCCGACATAAAGCCCATGTTCGGCGAGTAACTTGTACTACTACTAATATACAATGCGTATCTCGCTAAAAGCCCACCCGTTATTTGGACTTGAGTGATCTGTTGTCCCCTGGACAATGAGGGCGATGAAACGCACTGGGAATATATAAACACCGGAATATATGACGTCACTGATATAGAAATATTGATTTTTCTGTAAAATGTTTCCCAATATCAAATATTTGTATGCAATTGATATTTTTTATCTGCAGTTAACCACAACTGTTACGACTAGAATATTTTTTTTCAAATACATCGAAACATCGGACGAGTTATTAAAAACATGTATTTTTGTATGTTTGTAATGATTTTGCAATCCAATTACAATGAAGTCGAATTCAGATTCTACAGAAATGCCCACTCAAAAGGTGGTTACTCAAAAGGTGGTTACTAAGGTGTTCCCTAGTATATCTGCTGGGAATTCTCCTTTCTTAGCAGTCCATATAAGTGTCGATACAGGGAAGAAATGAACGATTTTTTTTATTCCTTCCAGATGTAATTAACTGTAAGGATGAAAGTCATCTTAAGCCATATAGATGGCTGAAGCAACAGAACGGACAACAAGAGATTCCGGTTACTTGTAAAGTACATGTCCTCATGTCTCCGTGAAATGTCGTCTTTTTAACAAGGAGATGTAGAGATAATGAACTTTTCTTGTTTTTTTCTCGCTTTTTTTAATCGAACAGGTGTATGGAATCCATATATCAGCAGCCGTTACGTTATATGATGTAACACGTGCGGTTCTAACATCGGACCTTATTGATCAGGCCCGTGTCGAACAATGTCTGCAGAAAACTGTTATTAATGATAACATTTCAATTACAGTTAAAGTCAATTCCAAAATTACAATTTCTACACTGAATTGAATCCTCTTTATCAATTAAGAAATACACAATACTGGTGCTTAACCGTTATAATCCGTTCCACAAAGCACGAGTTTATGTAGGAAAAGACGAGTATTGGACGTTTTGTTATAAGATACGATAGCAAGCTAGAAGTGTTTGGTGCTTGTTAGTGTGCCTGTTGGTACCGATGTTGTGTACCTTGTTCTCATTTGAGAACATGACATTCTTTACTTAGACTTACAAAGAATTACATGGCAGGTCTCGTCAATGAAGCAGAAGACTTTTTACTCTTCCGAAACACCTGGTTTTATGTTCCTTGTACTTTTTCAGGAGTCCCAATGGTCTCATTTTGCTCTAGTTTTATTGTACTTGAATTTGGATTAGGGTTCTGTTACCATGTTGATATTTCCTTGTTGTTAAAGCCATTTTGTTAGTAATATCGTTCTATCGCCGCGAAATGACGGGGATCTGAGATAGATATACACAACAATCGTCTTTGTACGCTTTATTGCTGTGAAATTATGGTTTTCGCTTCAAAACTGTTTTCTTTTGTGATTTTCTTTCACCACGAAAGGCAAATACAGTCGTGCCAAATGACAGAATACAGTTACGCGTATACATTCATTTCTAAAATCTCAGTGTTTTATTTTCTCGCAGCTTTATGGTGACATTCATTGATAGAATACTTCATGTGAAACAACGACATCCAACGACTTTATAGTTTCAACATTTTAATATATACATATATAAACTTAAAATTAGCAGAGTCCGGTACATATATAGAAAACTTATAAAACTTGAGACTCTTAACATTTACTTTGGCAAAAAGTAAAGCGTCTGAAGATTTAATGTGAAAGCGCTGATGCTTCACTAATCAGATGTGGTGCCAATTTCATTACTTTCTTTATTTTCTTTTTCTTTTCTTTTCTTTTTTTTTACGTTTTATAAAAAGACGATTCAGACATAGGTTAGACATCGTGAAATAATATTAAACCGACAAAAAATCAAAACATGGATGTTCGCTCATTAAATTGATCTCGTTCCTAGCGGCGAAGCCGAATAAAAGCCGATAAAAATGTTCTGACATCAACGATTGAAATATTGATTTCTTAGATATACTTGTATCCTATAAATTTACTGTATTCTAAGGAGAAAGCACCAGATATCTCTCTTCATATACTTATCAATAGTGATTAAAATGTTGATACGTTCAAGTTAACCCCATGTCATGTGTTTTCTGATATAAATGCAACTTTTGGTCTTAAAAAAGTTAAATGAGTAAAATAGAATTGGCATATCTGGGGCGAGCTAACTTGACCCAGTGTTTTTGATAAACTCTGTGATAGATCAGTGAGTGACCATGACTTGTAGGAATGTTTCTGTCGACATCCCTTTTAGGTCATCTAACCCAAAATGTCTAGATGGCCTATTACTATGTGCATCGTCCGTCGTCTTTCAAAACACTACTCATGCTGAACGCCTAAGCGGATTTCAACCCAATTTGGTCTGAAAAATCATTGGTAGCGGAGGATAATTTCTTAAATTCAGAAATTGGATTCGACCTCTAAGGACCTGGTGATGGGGACCCAAAAGGGTAGTTAGACAATACTTCACTTCAAAACGCTAATCTTCCTTAATGCTTGAATGAATTTCATTCAAATTTTGTCTGTTACATCAGTAAGGGTTGGCAAATAATTCTTAGATACAGAGTTTGATTCGCCTGAAACATTATCAGGGAGTGGCAATGATGTCAAACGTGCATGAAGTGATCCCGAGATTGTCCTGACCAAATCTTATTTTTTTTTCGCTTTGGTCCAAAATCCAACATAACTCATCTAGAACAAATATTCTGAACCACTTCATTCACACCAATGAAAGGAGTGTGATTTTTTCAAAGAAAAGAAAGAGATGATTTGTTGTTATTTTTCAAAACTTCAACATGGTAACTACAATAGCCATTTTGTAACATGGCTGTGCAACTGTTTGACTTCATCAGATTTGTCAGACCACCATCAGCGAATTTTATGGTTCATCTATCCATTCGTCGATTGTCCCGTTAAGGGTTATAACACTCTTGTAACCATAACTCCTATTTATAAACATAAAATTGGGATATATAAACATGTTCATTTTGACCATTTTAACGAGATAATTCCTACATATGATTGGGAAAAGTTGATTTAGCGTAGCGCGAGTCAGTGGATGCTGCACGTGGACAGTTTTGTAAAATCTATTTAGATTTTGCCCATATCTGTATTCCTACAAAAGAAGTTGCTATTGGACCCCACGATAAACACTGGATGACTTGTGTATTAAAGCATACTATACCAGTTTGTGACAGGTGATATTGAAGTAATAGAAATGACTCAACATGACGTCAATCAATCTAAAAATCAGCGTAATAAAGTGAATAACATAAAGAATATGCCCGTCAGTTTTTTTCTATGAAAATGTCCAAGGTCTGGTTGATAGGTTTTCCTCTTCTGACCCAAAGCATTGCTGGAAATAGGTCAAAAGATTTATGAAATCAGCAGGTGATTTCCAATGTATTCCTAATCTTATTTACCCAGTTGTAGGTAATATAGTGACAAGAAGAATGGAGCATGGTCAATAGCTTGAATACTTACTGTTGTTTTATAACACAAGTTGATGACAGCAATATGAACATTCCTATGTTAGAAAATAGAATAGACAAAACTAGCAATTCTTTAAGGGTTACAGCATCTGAAATTGAAGTTATACCACAATTTTTAAGATAAGGTAAGGTGTCTGGTCATGTTAGAATAAGTCACTGTATGGTTAGATCCACTGCATATTTTCAAATTCTTGTAAATTACTATTTAACTTGTCACTTTTTTACTTCTTCTAATATTTCTCCTGGCACGAGGAAGACTAACTTAACCAGTTGATTATCGTTTGAAAGCATTGAAATCGGTACGAAGTGTTCCTTTCAAGGAATCCATACCCATCTGGAAAATCAGAAATATGTCGATTGAAAACGGGCACTTTAATGAAAAAAGGCAAAAAATGCAAATTTATATACTAAACATTTGTAAATGAATATATGAATATTATCACTGATTCATGAGCTTTTTGCTAACAAAACTCAATTTATAATGTCTGCGAACAAATCTTACAACATGTAGAAGTATATTTACGCACTTCGGTAGGATTACTTACGTGTGTGAACACGATTACGATAAAAAAGGCGATGTCCGATGTACGATTACGATAAAAAAGGCGATGTCCGATGTACGATTACGATAAAAAAGGCGATGTCCGATGTACGATTACGATAAAAAAGGCGATGTCCGATGTACGATTACGATAAAAAAGGCGATGTCCGATGTACGATTACGATAAAAAAGGCGATGTCCGATGTACGATTACGATAAAAAAGGCGATGTCCGATGTCCGATGTACGATTACGATAAAAAAGGCGATGTCCGATGTACGATTACGATAAAAAAGGCGATGTCCGATGTCCGATTACGATAAAAAAGGCGATGTCCGATGTACGATTACGATAAAAAAGGCGATGTCCGATGTACGATTACGATAAAAAAGGCGATGTCCG